AGTCTCTGCATTTTTGATGGAGGCGAAATTGCTGTAGGCCCGTGCGCACATTTTTGGGTGCACGTTACATAACCCCAGGTGGTCTAAATTTCCAGAGCCCTCTACTACAGCGACTCTCATATTCATAAGGTGGTTTTGGGACGTTAAACCACACATATCTATCTATCTGTTTGAGGTGAAGTGTGAAAACATTTTGCTGTCTGACTGTCCCACCGTGCAGCATCGTAGCTGCTGTACCCTTGTTGTACCACTTTAGACAGCCACCTCCTTGAGAGGTTTCCTTTTCAGTTTATCACCCTTGAGCATCAACCAGTAAGCAGACATGGCGTTTGAGACCAGTCAACGCCTCAGTAAGGTGAAGGATGTTTAATTATTACACGGGCCACGTCGCTTGCTGAGGTTGCCATTGAAAATAGTAATTTGAACCGTGGCGCTTGTCGTGCATCACAGTTTTTTAGTGAATTTCTTGTTTGAAGAGAAATAAGCCTACAATGAACACTTTCTACAGCCTAAATAGCTTTAACCAGTTAAGGAACCTTCTGCGTAGTAACTTGAAATGCTTGCATTGCGAAATTGAGCAGTAATCAACACCGTATCCCTAAAGAGTGGGCAGACAACGCGCCCAGAAAAGGTCGAAAAACGGCGGCAGTGGAACACCCCATTGAATCCCAAGGCCTTTCCGATGGTTGCGTGACGTCACCCTATGAGTCAGTGCGGGCGCTGTTCCTGTATTACGGTTTGGCGAGGTCGCTTCTACTGGTGTTGTAATAGTGTGTGATGGGTGCGAAATACTAAGGCATGTATTGGAGAAGCTTCCTCGTGCACAAGAGAAGCATTTTGTATGTAGCTTTACTCTCACAATTCTGAGAAAAAAAAAAGGCGGCTGTTACAAAATTGTTTCACATGCTACACACTACGCGCAGATATATCCTGCGAGTAGCTGTGCCTTCATAAGTGTTTACCTGTGGTAAAAATACGAAGTCATTCACAAAAAAATAAACATGGCCCAGTGATACGCGTTCCACAACAATAATTTTTACGCGACATAATGACTTTTTCATGAACCAGCCAACTATTGTGCCTAAAGTACTTCATTTGAAAATACAAGAAGCAAGAAAAGGAAAAATAACACCACCTTCTAAGGTGGCTTTCCAACTTTGTAATTAAAAGAACTTATGATTTTCGCTGCTTTTTCTCTTAGATTGAATCTAATGAATGTCATTTTTATTGTCGCAATAACTTGCTACATAACACGCTTTGCATCGGAGGTTGGTTTTACACATCAACTTGCGGAAAAAAAAACACACAGACCAAACGAGGCATAGTTTATGGCAGCAAAAGCAATGCAGAAGCTATTTCAATAAATCTATGAGAAGAATATTCTTCTGAGCACTGTTCAATTACAAATGCACCCCAGTGAACAGTGAATATTCTCGAGAAATGCATGCCTCTATGTCGTTGTGTTAAAGTATTCGCAATATGTACAGAAAGAGCGCACCATTTGGACAATTACAGCTGTTGCAGCTAAGAACAAGGATTTGCACAAGAATGTTAGAAATATTTATCTTCAGATCCTCTGTTGACGTGAAATACTTCGGTGAGATATAGCTCGAAGACCAGATTTTTGTTGTGCATGGGAAATATTACAGGATTGTTTTTGGTCCATTTTCATAGTTGGCGCGGCATCCAGGAACACAACACCAGCCGATCTTGCACGATCTTGAAATCATTTCGATCCTTGCATATAGCGGCAAACTTCAGATTCGATATTCACACATGTAAGCTAAACAACAGTGCTATATAGTGGACGAAGAACACCGAGTTGATCGCGAATACACACCACGAACATAAAATGAGTGGCAACTTGGTGAGCACGCACTGACTTGCCGATGCTAGCACGCTGAGAACAGATGTGGAGCCAGAAAACAGCGTGGCCAGTTGATATTGTGGTGGTTCTGTTGGATCTTTGGCGTGATGTGGACAACAGAGAAAAGACGATGTGTAAATGCCTTAAGAATTTTAGAGGGAGTCGGGCAGAGCAACCGAGTCCTTGCCGTCACATTACAGCGCGACCACAGCGATGCCAGTGTTCGTTCTCGACGCTAATTGGGTGCAGTCGCGTGTCCTCGCACGCTTATCTCTAGTGGGGCAGCTTTGTACGTGTTGCGCTTCGCGAAGTTTTCTATTGGAGCCATAGAGTGCACGATGATCACTCTCTGCAGCGGCCGTGTTCCCTAAATGAACTGCTTGCCTTTATTTCGTATGACATTCCAATTTGTTGCTATCACATTCATTACGTCCCCGTCATGGTGAAAGGGCGGCTTTATTTATTTCCATAGCAATTATATTGACAGTCTCAGCTGGTTTTTTTTGTCGTCGCCGCCGTCGCCGTTATTAATGTATATGTATATGCGTGTATATCTACACACAGAAGGATGCGCTAGCCTCCTCTTTCTGCGAGGCGAACGTCGCTTTTGCGGCCATAGTCATCCGCACGTGCGCTTATCTTGTGAGTGAAGAAAGGGGGGGGGGGGGGAGTGATCATGATTGTCCTCCTATGGCAGCAACAATCCGAGCATCCCTTGTGCCTCACAGTAAGCGGGAGCTTTTACGGCCTGTGCTCTCCACGCGAAAAACGGTGCCCAGAGCGTACCTGAAGCAGCCATCTCCTTTTACATCAGCGTTTTGTAGGGTTATGTGAGATCCGATAAGAAAACGTTGACTGCAAGCCTCACTTCATGTACCATTGCAAATCGTCGCAATTAAATTCCTCTCTTGTTGTTTTGGTGAAACTGATTCTGTGCAATCATCCCTACCACACTCGCAAACTGCACTTGACAACATGCGCACGAGTATACATAACCACCGAGAAAACGTTGAGACAGAACTAGGTATCGAGTGCCTATGCACGTTTTGTGGGTTCTGTATCGTTTGTCATAAGTTATTCGTGTTCATATGCACCTGTGATTTCGTTTCGTGCGTCATTTGAAAGTGAGAAACGCGCGTCATTTTTGGATCTGCTTGCTATTCTTCGCTTAACATTCAAATTGTTGCGATTGCGTTCATTGCTTTGCCTTTGCGGCAAACCTGTGAACTTTTTGTTCCTTCAATTTATCAAAATTTTTGTTCACACAGAGAACTCTCATTTTTACCCACAACCAATGCCATCGGCGGAGAAGACATATTTTCTTGATGGCAGGCGCTATGGAGTTAATACACTCGAAAAGGCACTCGAATAAACGAAGAGAGTGCTGGGCACGATTTTGAAAAGGTACTTTCTTGCCCCATTTTCACTCTCTCTTCCACAGTAAATCACGTCTTGTTGAGGCAGAGTAGTGATTCCCCCGAACAGGTCAAAGCACTACACCTGAACATAGTAGCATAACGATGCCCGAAGCAGGGTAGCATGACCCCACCAAAGAGAATAATAGTACACCTCACAAAAAATAGCAGAATTTGAACTTAAATTGAGCTTTTAATTGTTTTCGACGGATCTCCATGCTCGTGGGTTGAGAGAATAACTAAATACGAACACTACGACAAATAAAGGCAAAAAATAAATGTGCGAAAAACACCCAGTCTGATTCAAACCTTCAACCTCTCGACTTACTAAAGATTGCTGGGTCACCGCGCTAACCACAAGATCACACTGACACCCCGCCACGCTGGTCTAGTGGCTAAGGTACTCGGCTGCTGACCGGCAGGTCGCGGGATCGAACCCCGGCTGTGGCGGCTGCATTTTCGATGGAGGCGGAAATGCTGTAGGCCCGTGTACTCAGATTTGGCTGCACGTTAAAGAACCCCAGGAGGTCGAAATTTCCGGAGCCCTTAAATACGGCGCCTCTCATAACCATATGGTGGTTTTGGGACGTTAAACCCCACAAATCAATCAATCAGACCACACTCACACGCGGCAATGGGGCGTTTATTTTTTATATGTCATAGGTAAATTTGATGACATGTCGGCAGTTTATTGTTTAGAGGCGTAGATTTCAGTGAATCAGCGCTTCTCAATACCAGCTGAACTGTAGCTAACGTGTTTATTGTGTTAGTTTTGTGTTTCGTGAGATTAGACTGTCTATCCTATACGCTGTTTACAGTATAAACAGGAAGATTAGCGAGACCAATCATATGAACGTCCTTGGCACTGACTCGCTCGCAAAGTGTTTAGTCAACTCTGCGTATGAAACATCGCGCTTCTGAACTGTACACTAAAGAACTTGGTTTTTTTGCACCTCCTTGAACATATTTTCGGTCATTCTTGTTCACCTTCTACGACTAAAGCCACAATACTTCCCTGTAGCCGTACCGTATGTTGGGCTTACAGCATCATCGCCCGTGTGCGATGGTAGTAGCGAAAAAACATAAATAATAATATAAAAAAAATTTCATAGCCGTCGGCGTTGAGTTTTGATCGTGACCTATTGATTGAGATTGTATTCGCTTATTTCACAACACATATGCAAAGTAAAAACGTGGATATATAGGATTTCGAGTACCTCCCAGTACGCTGACATTCAGTGGCGCACGCTGGAAACGCTGTTCTTTTGTTAATCGTCTCGAACACCTCAACAAGTAATTGCAGTACGTTTTACTGCATGTATGTGTGGTTAATAAAAAGTGGTAATCACTCGCGGTGTGCAGATGAAACTAAAAGTGATCAAGGGCAGGAGTATAACTGCGTTTCACTCGCTCAAGATTGAACGGTAAATAGGCATTTACCTCTTCCAAAGAGACGAAGAGTAGAAAGCTGTTTCACTCTCTCGTTTCATACAGAGTAAAAATAAATTTCACTCTATCTGACGCTTTGCGAGAGTATAAAAACACTTTGAAAAGTACCTTGGCCTTTCTACTCCTGCAATACTCTGAAGTTTGTAGAGTGTACAAGCGTTCGTGCGGAAATACGTGATCGTTGGGACAGACTTTAAAACTTACCTTTTTTAGTTCTGAGGAATTGTGTGTATCAAACAAGACCTCGACAGAAGTGATAAATCACGATGTCAGATTTACGAACAACGTTTATTTGACAGATGTTGGCTGAAGAACTTCAGCAGATGGTTTCAGCGGCTGGCGTCTCTTGTTCATCCAGTTGAGTTTCTTGAGTTAGTTCACGTGTTTCTGCGACGCAGTGCGATAACTGGAAGAGAGAGAGAGGGTACTTAAGGAATAGATTTTACGATTCCAGTAGTAAGCGTGCCATCGCGGTTAAATGGTCACGCTCACGGAGTTGTTACCCTTCCCTGCCAGCCAGGGGCGTAGCCAGAAAGTTTTTTCTGACAAAGGGAGGGGGGGCAAAGGCATCACCTTTTCTTTCTGAGGAGATTATCAGCAGTGATTTGTGCAGACTATGTACACGTACATCATAGTCATGAGGCCTTCCTATCTCTTTGCCTATGCGCTTGCGAGGAGAGCAAGCAAAAGTAAAGTTATAGTACTAAAAACACAGTAAATAACCGGTAAAGTGGTCGTTTGAAGGAACGGCCCCTCATCGCACCATTAAATGAACTAGTACTCGAAAACTCACGCATCATTATGACGACCCGCCCGATAGGAGAAAACGTCGTTAATCGTTAATATATGTTAAGTGTTGATGGCGTTGTCCTCGTCAGGGTGAAGTGCGTTTCACAAGTCAAGGACGGCTCCGCTTACTACGCGGAATGAAAAAGACTGCGGGCCTATTGGAATGATTTTATGTCCAGCTCAATATGTCAAGCAGCCTTGACACAGCGATAGCTCTTAGTCACCATTTTTTTAGTTTACTGCGCGCATCTGCACATGCTTGCGATAGGCTATAAGTAATTTTTTTGTAAATTATGCTGCACGTTGACAGCACGACTTCAATTACGTTATTTTTCGGGCAGATCTCCTCGCAATCATTGATTTCGAGGAGATCTGCCTCATCTGCAGATCTGCCTGAGGAGTTGCGCTGTGACTTTCGATATCAATGAAGTACTCCAATCCCAGACGTTTTATTGTGCAATCTGCGGGGCGAGGTAGTCATTGTTGAGGAATGTTCACTTGGTCTCAATTTAAAATGCACCTGAGATATGACTGTATGCCTGCTCACATAGAAATGGTTTGTTTACTGCGTATATGAAAGAAAACTCAAATTCACGCAAAAACGTGTAATGTTCTCTTTTTTTTGTAGCTTTCGTCGCTCTTGTTCCTGAACAGATAGCGTTGCGCCAAGGTGTCGTCCGTTGTTCGCAAGCCTGCAGTCGTCCCTATTCTTTGCGTCAACAGATTGAGAACCGTACAAGATAATTGACCGCGTAGCGTCGATATACCACACGATATGTTGGGTATACACTCAACTAACTTTTATAGATTGTGCATTCGTGTTTGCAGCACTTACGCCAGCGCGAACACGAGCAACCTTGTATCACACAAAGTCTCGAGTGGTCTGTTCACTAGTGTCTAAGAAATGAACCCCGGTCTTGTTCAGAGCATAGTACACCATAATAAATTTCTCAGAACGCGTCAACTTTGACGAGAGCTGCCAGAGCATGCGACATGAGTTTACTTACTTTGTACTGTGCACCATCTATGCCTGGCGCTTGTATCTTTGCAGGAATTCTTATGCGAGTCACTCGAATTTCACTGTGGCATCAACTCCTTCACGTTCGTTCACGTTTGTGGTATTGGATCACAACGCAACATAAGCTACCAGCCTTCTTAAGGACGCTATCTCAACGCGAGGCTTTTTGCGCGCAGAGTTACTGGGTCAGCACGACCTTGATTGATTGATTTTTAGGTTTAACGTCGAAAAACTACCATATGATTATGAGAAACGCCGTAGTTGAGGGCTCCAGATATTTTGACTACCTGAAATTCTTTAACATGCACCCAAATCTGAGCACATGGGCCTACAACATTTACGCCTCCATCGGAAATGCATCCATCGCAGCCTGGTTTCGATCCCGCGACCTGCGGGTCTGCAGCCGCGTACCTTAGCCACTAGACCACCACGGCGGGGCGTGAGCACGACCTTAACTGTACCTGAAAGAAAGTGGAGGAAATGTGTACGTGCGAATCTTCCCGCCAGGGGAGAAACAAGCGCTAGTGTTTATGTGGAACTTCGCCAGCCCACACGTATCTTCGGTAATATTCTCGTTCCCTGCATTCAGCGTCAATGCCCAAACTTTTCTGAGCACGTGGCTTGCTAGCGATGCGAAGTCATCCCATTGAAGTACGTTATCTACACGCGTTGCTGGGTATAGTTCAAGTTCTGTGTCAATGAGTGCCTCTCTACGAGACTCGATAGCCATGCTAGAGTACATTTTAACGGTGCCGAAACTTTGTTAGGTAACGCTGGATGATTATTTCTTGAAAGGCGAAACTCCGAGTGCACACATGACAACTGGCGGAAAAAACAGCAGCCAAAGAAACGGTTCTCTGCTGTAATTTTTTAGTGCCCTAATACGACTCGTGTGCTGAAAAACCTTCTCAAAATTGATAAGAGCAATATGTACGCACCAAAACCGTGATTCTTGACGACATTGGTCCTTACGTGTTTCACGGACCAAGACACCAGGATTTGCAGCACGACGAGTCCAGACAACGTTTGCTAATGACGACGTGGAAACCAGGCGCTAACTACAGCTTCCTCTCAGTTGGTAAGCGCAAACTGAAGTTCCAACTTCAACGGCAGGAAATATTTTCTTGGCTGCTGGTGTATTCCAATTATCAGGAGGGAATAAGACATGCGTGTTTTTTGGAAAAAAAAGTTCACGTGCGGGAACTCACCAAGTTCTTCGTGAGAGCTTGGTCCCCTCTCCGTTCATACGCCAAAAGAATGTGCTTTAAAGTTTAAGTAGCCACAATGAGTATGACTGCCGCAAGACCATTGCTCTATAAGCGACAAATTTTTTATAAGCACTCAAAAATAAGCCAATCACTAAAAAGGTGGAGCCATCAGCGCAAACGCAAAATGAGTTAAACAAAAAAAAACAGATCTTCTTCATAGACACTGGCATCTTTTGTGGGCGACAAGGTGATTACGAGGGACGATTATGAGAACCACAATACGACAATGAGAGACGCCGTAGTGGGGTGCTACGAAAATTTGGACCACTAGAGGTTCTTAAACGAGCACACAAATCTTAGCACACGGGCCTACAGCATTTTCGCCTCCATCAAAAACGCAGCCGCCGCATTCGGTATTCGCTCACGTGACCTGCGGGTCAGCAGTCGAGTACCATAGCCACTAAAACACTGCGGTGGGGCACTCCTTGCTTTTCGGTGGCACCTTTCACTTACAGACATGGTTCGCGAATACGAGAGTTGTGAATATCAATGCAACAACCTGAGTTTGCCTATAACAATTCTCGTAAATTTTTGGTAACATATGTGGATTATGATATGACATTTAATACGAAGGATAATCTTCGTGACAATTGACAAAAAATAACAGTATTCCGCTGTCTCATGTATCTGTTTTCTGCATAACACATCGCTTGCACAGCGTTTGCTTCATTACTTCTAAAAATATTGTACTATGTATATGGTTAATAAATTGTATGATAACATGTCCGCGCCCTCTTATATTTCTTCATTCTGTGCATTTATTGTTGTGAGTTATGTGGCTAGTTGCAGAAATCACTCAGTGCAGCCTTCCAGCCTTGTTATTGTAAAGGTACGAACAGATGAAGCGAATCAGTGCAAATGATGCCACGTTTTCTTCTCAAGTTTTGTTATCACGCCATTTCACTGTCAGCAGTTTTCAGCGCCAACTACACCTACAGCACACCGTTCTAGAAGCTTCGAGATGGCAGTAGATACTTTTGTAAAAATTACGCCCGCTTTTTGACCATTACAGATTATTCTGGAACTTGCGTCGCTGCCAGAGATAACACTAGAATATTTGATGGCAAATGTATAAATGTCGGCACGCTTCGCCGCTTCTAAGTTGATAGACGGCCAACGCTCCGTTCACCGCTATCAGTGCAAGTCTGCTACTGTGGTCCGACTTTCCATCTACCGGGCACAGGTTCGCCCAAATAAACAGTTCTTTCTCAAACCTACTTTCTGTTTCTTTGTCGACGTCAGACCCCCACCCCCCCCCCTCCGTGAAATCTGGTGGAGGTGCTGCTTTCTTTGATGTTCCGGACTCCCCCTTCAAGCCTTGAGCCCAGACCCAGTGGCAAAGCCCCACCGCGGTAGTCTAGTGGCTACGTTACTCGGCTGCTGACCCGCAGGTCACGGGATCGAATTCCGGATGCAGCACCTGCATTTACGATGGAGGCGGAAATGTTATAGGCCCATGTGCTAAGATTTTGGCGCACGTTAAAGAAACCCAGGTGGTTGAAATTTCCGGAGACCTCCACTACAGCGTCTCTCAAAATCATATGATGGTTTTGGGACGTTAAACCCCACATATCAATTAATCAAACCAAGTGGCAAAAAAGACACCGAAGCCGACCCTGAGCATCAAACAAGCCGCAAGCAAAGGGGCTGTAACCAGAATACGAGCCTCTTCCTGAAGCAGCCAGAGAGCCCCGGATTCTGACAACAGCAATGACCCCCCCCCCCCTCCTCTCCGTACAGCCTGCGCCTGTCGTTCTCTGGCAGCCCAAGGAACCTCCAACGTTCAATTGATTGTAAAGCGAGAATCTGGAATGCTGGATCAAAATATACGACCGAATCGCTGCCTTAACCAACTGGGACCTCGAAGAAAAATTACGCCTTGTCTACTTCTACTTCGAAGATGCCGCGAAGACATGGTTCAAAAACCACAAATCTACGCTACGAACCTAGGAACTTTTTCGGATGACGTTCTGAGCACGTTCACAAGCGTCGTTCACAAGGAAGGGGCCTCCACATTGCTGGTGACAAGGGTGCAACTTCCTAATGAAAGCGTAACCATCTTCGTCGAAGAGGTGCCCCGGCTCTTTCGACTCGCCGACTCCACCATGGCTAAGGAAAAGAAGCTTTGGTTCCTCATGCGGGGGGTGAAGTAACGAAAATCATTTTGACGTTGTGTTTGGTGGTGACATTAACATAATATCATGAAGAATGACTCTCTCAAGCAAAAACTTGATTTTTTACTCCTGGTAAATGGCCTAGTTAATGTAAACAACTTACCCACTAGAATAACTCCACATTCCTCATCTTTAATCGATATCTTTTTCACAAATA